GCGCTCCGCGCTCAGAATCGGCGCTGGTCTTAAGTCGGGCCTGTCCCTCTACAGGAGGGATTTTCAAAGATAGTTTGCAAAAGAGTCTGGGAATATTTGTCGACTATTGTTGAGCATGCGGAGGGTATTCTTTGAATAGTTTTTCAATGTTTCACCCCAAAATCCCCCTGTAGGGGGACAGGCCCGACCTAACGCTTGTCGCAAACCAACCCGATCCGGCGCAGCAGCGTTGAATTCCTCGTCATACTGCGCAATCTTGCGAACTCCTAGGATTAATTTGGGCTCATCTGGCTCACTGGCTCGCGAATCGGGCTCTGTGGCTCCGAAGTGTTCTCACAAGGACCTCCTCAGGTGTTGTCTCCCAATCTTTTGCATCCCTGCCTCCTCCCGCAATTTCCCCCCCCCTCGGAAGCCCGTCAATTTCCATACTCCGAGTACCTCAATAGTTCTGGGCCCCCGGACTACAAGGGCCCCCCCTGGACTACAAGGGCCCCTCCCCATGCAGGACCAGGAGGGCCCCCCCCCAGACTACAGGGACCCCCCAGACTACAAGGACCCCCCGGAACAAAAGGGCCTCCCCCCGGACTACAGGGACCCCCCATCAGGCCACGAGGACCCCCCTCGGGCTACAGCCACGCGCGCCACTGCGGCCACGTTGCCTGGCCCCTTTGCATAGGGCGCATGTCCGCGGTCGTCGAGCAAGACATCGCTCCCGCGAAGATCACAGTGTCCCCCCCCCCGCCCGCGGAGTCCGGGGGGGAGGGCATTGTGACCTTCGCGGGGGCCCAGACAGACTGTAGGAACCCTCCCCGGACTGCAAGGCCCCCCCCCCCCCGAACTACAAGGGCCCCCCTCCCAGACTACAGGGGCCACCACTCAGCCACGCGCAGAGGGGGGTGGGGGGAGGGGGGAGGGCTTCTTAGAAGCACCCCTGCTTCTTAGAAGGCGCGGGACTTATCTATAGATGTAAGGCCGACGCCTTCTAAGAAGCAGCCTCCTAAGAAGCCCTCCCCCCTCCCGCCACCCCCTTGTGCGCGCCGCCAAACCACTGCAGGTGCCCCCCCCTGGACTCTGGGTCCCCCCCGCGGACTATTGGTCACCCCGCGAATGATTGAGGCACTCGGAGTACAGTGCCGTTTTTAAGACATGCTCCTCGTGCGGATCATGTCTTGAAAATGCAGGGATTCTAGCACCAAGAACCACGATGAGTTCATGCATACATTTACCCATAAAGTAATCATGTATTAAAAATCCGATACCTTAGATCCCATGTATTAAAGACTGCCCTGTATGGTCCCTGTGACACCTGCGTGTCCGCACCACGCCCGCGGCAGCCTCGCGGACAACACTGGCGGCTCCTTGTCCTCCTGCTCTGGTCTGCCACGGCCTCCCCCGCTCGGGTGCGGTCCCCGTCTGGCGGGCTCTTGCGCGGAAGCTGAAGTCGCGGCGCTCGCGCCTGCACCGAGCGTGCAGAGTGGAAGCGGGACGATGGAGGATGCCATCCCGGGACCAAAGTTTCGGGGCCAGTTAGGGCTCAGGCGGTCGTCTTGGAGGCCCTCCTGGAGCGGGGACGGCTGTCCGGGGGCCCGTTCTCAGGAGCACCCCGCACAGGTGGCGGCATCGGCCGAGAGGCACCGTTGGGCACCTTTCGCGCCGAGCGCGGTCCACGACTCGCAAAGAGCCTGCTCCCAGAGTGCCTGCTCGCAGAGTGGCGGTTCCGACGCCGAGGGAGGGGAGGAAGGAGGAGGAGGCGGAGGAGGCATTGCAGTGTGAGGCCGTTGCGCGCAACGGCAAGCAAATCCCACCAGCCCTTCGGCCGCAGGTGGGTCAGCGAGCTGCTTGTTCCAATCGCCTCCTCTTTGGGGGAGGTTTGCCTCTCGGGAAGGAGTCCCGCGGATCGTTGGGCGGTCCAATATGGCCTCAAGACGGCCCCCAAGAGGGCCCCAGCTAGCCTTAAGTCGGGCCTGTCCCTCTACAGGAGGAAGATTCAAACATAGTCCAATAATAGTCTGGTGACGATTTGTTTAGCATTTTCGTCAAACATTCGCCTGAAGGTGGACAGGCCCGACCTCAAGCTAGCCTGAGACAACCTCCACGATCGCACAACATAGCCTGATGGTTTAAACAAATAGCTTCCGACATGCGTCCAACAAGCCCCCAGATCACCCCGAGACGGTTTCAAGTGTCCACGGAGCCTCCCAGCGGCCCCCCCGAGTGACCAGAATCATTCAGAAGCCATCTGAAAGCCAATGTGTTATCATACTATCTCGCCTCTCGCTTCCAATGGGCTCCCGAGACTTCAACGCGTCTCCGAGATGGCCCAAGCGAGCCCCCCGGATGGTGGCACAATTGCGGCCCCGAGGTCGCCCAAGAGCGCTCAAACAGCGCCGTATAAGAGGGCCTCAAGAGGTCGTTCTTCTGCCCCCGAGGCTGGGGCGTACTGCCCCTCCCCGCTCGTTGATCGATGGTCTCCCAAATCACCGCAAGAGGCATTGACAGGCCCCTAAGAGAGTCGGAGTGGTCCAGGTCCGTCGGTTTCGGTCCTAGGCCGTTTTCACTAAAGGGCGGTTTACTAAAGGGAGGTTTGTCCACCGCCGACAGAGCCCAAGAACTGCCCCAAGAGGGCCCAAGCGGCTCCCCAACAGGCCCCAAGAGGGCCTGACGGCCCTGAGATGCCTCCAGCAGGATCCTAGAGCGCGGCTGTATGCTGCCAAGCATGCCTGGTCAGTGCAAATCGCCTGGTGTTTTAGCTGTTGGATGGGATCGCGGGGAGGTCAGAAGCGCCAAGGATTGGCCAGCAAACCTGCCATCGCATTGTTCGGTGCGCTTCCAAACCTTTGTGGGCCCCGGAAACGGCAGGGCCGTTTTTTCACCGTTTCTAAAGAAATGTCCCTTGAAAATGGAAACGGCAACAAAAAACCGCGACCGGAAACTGCAAAAAACGGCTCCAGGATTGGAACCGGAGCCGGACCGGGTCACAAAACGGCGACGGAACGGGTAGGAAAACGGCGTCGGAACCGGCAAAAGAACGGCAAAACGGAACAGGTAAAAAAACGGCCCTGTCGTTTCCGGGGCCCTCTGAGTTCCAAACACACGTGCAACCAAATGCGCCGGTGTACCTGACACGAATTCAGGCACCGGAGAGTGGCCGGGGTGACAACACAGATGCATGTGTCATCGCATCTGTATTGCAAAAATGCTGCGCGAAACTTACATCAGCATTTTCCAGACGACTCTGTTGTCATTTGGCTCTGCAGATGTGTGTCCCTGGGTAAGAAGTCCCCCGCGGCGGATCCAGGCAACCTGCGAGCAGTATTTTGTTGCGAGGGTTGGAACGCGCTCGTGAAAGTTCGGACAGGTTTCAAAAATGCTTACGGCCAATTTTTCTTGTTCTCAAACAAGAAAACGATTACCGTTAACGCGCATAGGCAGGACGCGCGCCTTTTCTAGAGTACCCTTGTGTCTCTGCCTCTGCGGCCCGTCCTTTGCCGCTCCCACTGGCCAGCCCCTCAGGCCGCCGCCCAACAAATCCCGCCTTCGGCCTCCAAGGGCCTTGCGTCCTTACCACCCGTCCGTGCTCCACGGTTTCATTTTAACTCGCAAAGTGGCGGGTTGTTTTTTCCAATCCCACGATTTTTTAAGGGTCAGGGACGACGTTGGGGTGGTGTGGTGTATACTTTTCCCCCGCTTTCCTTGGAAACAGCGAAAACGGAAACACCAGGATCCCGTATACACCAGGATTCGCGTTCCTGTGCGAATTTCAGCGCAACGTCGGAAAAAAAGCGTCGGTGTATAGAGTTCGTTTCCTTAGTAACGCTTGGCACGCCGGCAGCCCTTTTTTCGTGGCGCCAACATCGCAGCGTGGATTGCGTTCGGAAAGCGACAGGATGGGCCCGGAGTGTCCTGGAGAGGTTCGCTCTGGATTTCGGGGTGAATTGCGCTCGGATTTTTCCTGGCCAGGATTGAAGACTCAAAGACATGATTTTCTGCTCACGGTCAGCAGTGCTCAGTGCTCTACTCCTTACGGGGCTTTGCATTGATAGGAATCCACGGCACAAAGACCGCTGCAGCACGCCTGCAAAGGTCGGTGCAGTGACGCTTGCAGAGCAGCAGGAGGCGGCGGATGGAGGACGCCCTCGGGGCCCTCGCAGCCGCCGCCCCTCGGCCCGCCGGGCCTCGGTGCAATGCCTGCGTGGCGGGACTGCTGGGCCAGCCGACTCACGTTGGACGGGGCGTTCCCCGGCTGCGGCCGGGAGCGCCCGAGGGGACGGCGCTGTGGGAGTCGATGGATGGAGAGGAGACGTGCTGCCACATAGTTTCCAGATGTCTGAGACATGCTCCAAACATGTTTTGTATCTATATATATATATGTTAAAACATGCTGGACACATGTTTAGAACATGTTTTACACAGTTGAAACACGTGCTCCATTCCATGATAGGATTGGTAGGGTGTCCCGTTGTCATGGCATCCGCAAGGAGGGCGAGGGAAGGCGAGGATGACAGGGCAGAGGGGGGGGGGGGGGCACGCATGAGGGGCCGCCCCATGCCACTTTTGCCAGGTTCCGCCGAAGGCGAGAGGGCCTCTCTGCACCGACCTGCCCAGACCTCCGACGTGTGCTGGTTCTGCCCGGGTTCTGCCGAAGCGCCGAAGGCGAGGGCCTTGCGGAAGGCGCGGGCCTCGTTTTTGCGCCGACCTGCCCAGTCCCCCGACGTGTACTGCTCACGACGTGGATTCCGAGAATTCCGGGCCCCTTCCCCAGTTCTGCCTCGTCATCCCGAGCCGTTTTTTGTAGACGGCCCCAAGGCCCCGTGAGGACCCTGCCAGCAAACGGACGTCGGGCTTTCAGCTCCTTGCGCGATCGCATCTGGGGTCCTCCGCAGGGGCTTGCGGGGGCCACCTCTTGGGGCTCTGATTCTTTGGCCGTCGGGCACGCGCACCTCCCATCGCCCAGAGGCGGAGCCAGGGGACAATCCGATCGGCTGCGAGGTCTACGCCAGGACGGCGCTGGGCGGAGGAGGGGAAGGAAGTCGGGGGCATGGCACAGTACGGCGGGGCCTATCACATGCGAGAAACATCGCACCCCTCCCACATCCCAGAGTTCGTTTCAATCCAGTCGATGCTGCCGATGTCGGCGGGCCCTCTCCGATTCGATTGCGAGTTCTCTTCCGGCCATCAGAGTCCGCCCTTTGTTACGCACACTGGCGCGGCCGATCTAGCTCGATTCTGACTCCGTGCCGATGCGGCCCGATCAGACGAGCGTTCCGATCCGACCTGATCTCTCGATTCGATGCTGACTGGCCCTCGTACGGCATGTTCGCCCCGCGTTGTCGCGGCGGCGTCTCCAGGGCTGTCGCTCGAGGTTGAACGCCGCCAGTGGCCCTTGCTGAACGCGACCCGTGGCCGAGGGAACGAGGGGGAATTCCCTAGAGTAAGGGACGCAGATCACAAACATGCCGCCCCTGGTGCACTCTGCGTGCCAACGGAGGGGGCCCAGCGCCGATTCAAGGAAGCCGCGACGACATCTAGGCATTAGTTATGACATTTCGCGTCGCACCGACGTGGCAGTGACCCCAGCGCGGGCGCTCTGGGTCGAACGGCACCGTCGGCCCAGAATCGGCCGATGAAGTATTGAAAGATCTGCGCTATCGGAAGGCTGTGATCGTTCAAAGGTTGAACGATCCACGTGGTTTGATGAATAGATGCGCTCGCTGTCACGACATGAGCCTGCCGCAAGCGCGTCAGAGAAAAGGCACAGACTGCCAGCGAGGGCCCCACGGACATCTCTTACCCCCCGAAGGCTCAGGGGACTCCCGAATGCTCAGATTTCTCGTAGCATGATGGGCCTATTTTCCACCACCACCAAAAGTTGGAGGGGGAGGAGGAGGCGGAGGAGGAGGAGGAAGAAGAGGAGGAGGAGGAGGTGGAGGAGAAGGAGGAGGAGGAGGAGGACCCTCTCCCCCTCAAACTTATGGTGGTGGTGGTGGTGGAAAACAGGCCCATCATGGCAGGCGTTCTATGCAGTGCAACCCCGTGCGGGGGACGGCTGACGAGCGGAGCGCGTTCTCCGACACTTGGTCGCTCCCAGCGCCTCCAGGCGCAGGGAAAGCCAGCCGCGTGCAGCTCATTCGCCAACCCACCTTTGCCACCCCCCTCCCCTTTCCTTGGCATCGCTTGGACGTGTGCACTTCTTCCTCGGTGAGGACCATCGAGAGCCTCCTTGATCATTTGGCGAAAAAGCCACGCACGAAACCGAGCAAAAACACAGGGAATGGGCGTCCGAGCGATGGCCAGTCGTCCGTCCCGAGCAGGCTCCGGTCTTCCTAGAGGGCGGCTCCTGGAGCCCACGTCGCCGCGCCTCATTGCTTCTCGACATTTTTGGTGGAAGGCGTCGTTCCCCAGCGGTGCATGATTCACCGAGTGACGAACCAATAACACACACCCATACCCATAGGGGGGTCGGAAAGGGCTATGGATGCGTATTGTCGGATGGGGGTCCCCGCTCGAACGCGAGCGTTCCCTAGGGTCCGACAACCCGCACCCATACCCATAGCCAGTCCTCCTCCCAACGACCCCCTTATGGGTATGGGTGTGTGTTGTTCGTTCGTCACCGAGCGCGTTCCATTACTCGCAGAGTGCCTACTCGCAAAACGTCCTGAAAAAAACACATGTCTGCGTTGACGGAATTGCTCGTAGATCCGCCGTGGCGAGGCCATGTGCGAGTAGCCTCTTTGCGAGTCGTGGAACGCTTTCGTCTGGTGCAGGGGGCCCCGGGGCAAGCTTTTACAGCCCACGGGTGCGCCGGTCATGCCAGAGCGGGGCCGTGGGCCGACCTGTGTCTCAGGAGTCTCGAGCTGAGCGCAGGCCACCTCGAGCGTCGCTGCCGCCGGAGTGCGATTGTTGTGGCGCCGTTGTCTGATGGTGGTGGAGCGCACGCGAGCGAATTGAACATGCTGACCTTTGTGCTCGACGCGGCAGATGTTGCCATCCACCGCTCGCGAAGGATGGACCCGCGCGATGTTGAAGCGAGGTCAGAAGGTCAATCGACTCCGCCAGCAGAGCAGTCAGCCTGGTTGGAGTTGTAGTAGGAGCAGTTGTTGTTGCAGTAGTTGTAGCCGTGGTTGTGCAGGCAATAGTGGTGGTAAAAGTATTGGTACAGTAGTAGTAGTAGTAGTAGTAGTAGTAATAGTAGTAGTAGTAGTAGTAGTAGTAGTGGTAGTAGTAGTAGTAGTAGTAGTCGTAGTCGTAGTCGTAGTCGTAGTAGTAGTAGTAGTAGTAGTAGTAGTAGTAGTAGTAGTAGTAGTAGTAGTAGTAGTAGTAGTAGTAGTAGTAGTAGTAGTAGTAGTAGTAGTTTAGTAGTAGTAGTCTTAGTAGTAGTAGTAGTAGAAGAAGAAGAAGAAGAAGGAGGGGTAGTTGTTGTTGCAGTAGTTGTAGCCGTGGTCGTGCAGGCAGTAGTGGTGGTAAAAGTGTTGGTACAGTAGTAGTAGTAGTAGTAGTAGTAGTAGTAGTAGTAGTAGTAGTAGTAGTAGTAGTAGTAGTAGTAGTAGTAGTAGTAGTAGTAGTAGTAGTAGTAGTAGTAGTAGTAGTAGTAGTAGTAGTAGTAGTAGTAGTAGTAGTAGTAGTAGTAGTAGTAGTAGTAGTAGTAGTAGTAGTAGTAGTAGTAGTAGTAGTAGTAGTAGTAGTAGTAGTAGTAGTAGTAGTAGTAGTAGTAGTAGTAGTAGTAGTAGTAGTAGTAGTAGTAGTAGTAGTAGTATTAGTAGTAGCAGTAGTAGTAGGAGTAGTAGCAGCAGCAGCAGCAGCAGTAGTAGTAGTAGCAGTGGTAGTCGTAGTCGTAGTCGTAATCGTAGTAATTCTAGACGCTTCGCGTATCCCCACCAGCCCGTCCAGAAATGAGCCCCAGGGGAGTGGAGGTGATGAGGGAAGCGGGGGAGCATGCAGAAGAACAAAGAGCGGGTTGAGCCGCCATACGCCCCAAGAGGGGGAGGATGTAGGAGGAGTCGTCGTCGTCGGAGTAGGAGGAGGAAGACGAGGAGCAGGAGGAGGAGCAGGAGGAGGAGGGGGAGGAGGAGGAGGAGGAGGAGGAGGAGGAAGATGAGGAGGAGGAGATGGAGGAGGGCGAGGACGAGGAGGACGAGAAGGAGGAGGAGGAGGAGGAGAAGGAGGAGGCGGAGGAGGGGGAGGGGGAGGAGGGAGGAGGGAGAAAAAGAGGAGGAGGAGGAGGACAATGGCGAGCTTGGGGGCCTCTTGGGCCGTCTTTGGGGCCTCTTGGCGGTCCCGGAGGCCTCTTGCGTATCTCGGGGAGCTTCTTGTGGCCTTTTGGGAGTCTCTTGGAGGCCTCTTGGAGGCCTCTTGGGGGCCTCTTGGGGCCTCTTGGGGCGCTCTTGGGTTTAGGGTTTAGGGTTTAGGGTTTAGGGTTTAGGGTTTAGGGTTTAGGGTTTAGGGTTTAGGGTTTAGGGTTTACCCCGCTACTGGTAAGAAAGTGATGTCTTCAACGATGGGGAAGAGAGAGGGGGGCGCCAAACCCAGCCCAAAAAAAACCTTTATAGAACATAATCTTCGGTTTCTGGGCTCTCATCGGGCCCCAATACCGTGAGGGATGATTCCCTGTGGGGAACATCGGAAACCGACGTGCGCAGGCCTGTTGGACCGCAGTGAACATCTTCGATTGCCCTGGGCGCGCAAGATGCAGCCAAAAAAAAAGCCCTTATGGAACATAATCTTCGGTTTCTGGCCCCTCTTCGGGCCGGGGACCGTGAGAGACGACAACATTGTTCCTTCGGGAACCATCAGGAAACGGCGTACGCAAACGCGAGGAACGCAGTGAATACCTTCGGATTGCCTCGGAGGCGCCAAACGCAGCCAAAAAAAAAAACTTTACATAACATAATATTCGGTCTCTGGGCTCTCCTCGGGCCCCATGACCGTGAGGATGATTCCCTGTGGGAAACATCAGAAAACGACGTACCCAGGCCTTCTGGAATTCAGTGAACATCTTCGATTGCCCTGGGCGCGCCAGATGCAGCCAAAAAAAAAGTCTTTATAGAACAGAATATTTGGCTTGTGGCTCCGGGCCCCGGGACCGTGAGAGACGACAACATTGTTCCTTCGGGAACCATCAGAAAACGGCGTGCGCAAACGCGTAGACGCAGTGAAAATCTTCGGATTGCCAAGGAGGCGCCACTCATCATCATCAACACTGGGATCAATATCATCGTCTTCATCATCATCGTCACTATCACAACATCATCATCATCATCATCACAATCATCATAGTCATCATCATCATCTCACACGGAGGCCCGTCTATCGACGGGGGGCGGACGCAGAGCCTTCATTTGAGAAAGGAGCTATCGTAAAGTTCAACAAGGTCATTCGCACGAGGAACGTGTGGGACTGGAACGCGTGGGAAAACGTGCAGGTAGAGAAGACGATTGCTGTGAACGTTGTAGCAGTGTAGGGCTTGCGCGTTGCGCTACTCTGCCTGCACTCTCTGCTGCGCTGTCTGCAATGTCCGTCAGCTGCGCTTGTGCTCGTGCTCTCGGCAACTCGACGGCCGTCTTGGCCTCTTCCGTCTCACGTGGCGGCGCAGCTATTTTGTCATGATGTGCAGTAAGTGGATAGTCATCAGCGCTGCTCTTGCGGATATGTAAACATAAGTTCCTTTTGAAGATTGACCAGACTCCCAGATTGCCGACCTGGGCCGCTATTTTGTTTAGCGCATAGGCGTAATCCCTGAGTTCTAGTCAGGCCGGCGTGAGTTAGGCCTGGGCAGATCACGAATGCGACTGGGAGTGGTAAAGGGAGGAGTAAACCCCTCCCCGAAGGGACAGAAGGAGGTTGGAAGAGGAACCGCTCTAGAATTTTTCAACTAGTCGCTGCACGGCGTGATTTGGCCGGTAAGCCTGCAGACACTCATCTTCGCGCTCGGCGCAGTAATCCTCTTCCTCCTCCTCGTCCTCGTCCTCCTCCTGAAGCAGTGTTGGGGCCGTCTTGGGAGCCT